AAATTTAAAATAATAAATACAATGATAGTTTAACATACATAAATACTATCCATTAAAGAGACCAAAAGAAACACAAAATCATCGCAATAAGTACAGAAAATGCCTTTGATGAAATTCAACAATGCTTCATAGTAAATCTCACAGATATGCAATGGATGGAGGGAACACAATTCAAAATAATAAAGTTCATATAACAACCCAATAGCACATATTATTCTAAAAGATAATTTGAAAGATTCCAACTAAGATCCGGCAACAAAGTGTCCACCATTTTTTCCACTATTAGTCAATACAGTGTTTGAAGTCTTAGGTAGCACAGTAAGACAAGAGATGAAGTAAAAGGGATGCAAATAATAAAATAAGTCAATTATTCCTGTTTACAGATAATAATGTTTTATACAAAAGAGATAATAAAGACTCTACCAGAAAAAAATAATTTGAGCTGATAAAAGTTTCAGCAAGTGGCAGGTTACAAAATTAACACAGAAAAAATAAGTACCTTTCCTATATACCAATGATAAACATACTGAAAAGTGAGTCAAGGAAATCAACCCATTCACAATGGCCACACCACACACACACACACACACACACACACACACACACACACACACACACTAGATCAATGGAATAGAATACAATTCATTGCAACCACAGCCATCTGATTCTGACACAGATGCCAAAAATACACACTGGTAAAAAGACAGCATCTTCAACAAATTGTGCTGACAAACCTAGATTTTAACACATAAAACAGTAAAAATAAACCATTATCTCTTGCCCTGCTCAAAACTCAATTCCAAATGGATCAAGGATCTCAACTTAAGAATTGATATCTGAAACTGAAAAGGGGGGAATACACTGCAACTTTGAGGCATAAGACTTTTTGAATGGTACTCCAATTGCACAGGAAATCTGACAGGCAATGACCAATGGGATCTCAATAATTCCAAAAGCTTCTGTGTGGCAAAGCAAACTGACAGAAGTAGCCCACAAAAGGAGAAAATCTTTGGCAGCCATAAATCCAACATGGAATCAGTGTCTACAATATTAAAAAAATAAAAAAGAAAAGAAAAGAAAAAATGCAAAGGACTACTAAACAATTTAAAAAGTATCCAACATCCTTTGCTATTATTAGGAGAAAATGCAGGTTAAACTAAAACTATTTTCAGGTCCTATCTCACTTAAGACATTGGGAAAACACAAATGATAACAAATGCTGGAATAAATGTGGGTACAGAGGAACCCTTATATATCATTGGGCGTGTAAACTAGTGGAGCCACTTTGGATTTCAGTCTGGTGATTTCTCAAAAAAACTAGAACTAGGAATATCACATAACCCAGCAACAGCTCTCCCGAGCACATACCAAAAGGACTTTACATCCTAATAAAGATACACTTGCATCTCCATTTTCACTGATGCTCTATTCATACTAGACAGCAAATGGAATAAACCTGATGTCCATCAACCAATGAGTGGATATGGATAATGTGGTACCTGGGATAACTCAGCTATAAAAGAGAAATTATGACATTTTCAGGTAAACAGACAGAATGGGAAAAATGTACTGTGTGAAGTCATCCAGGCTTACAAAGGCAAATATCACATATTTTCTCACAAATGTTGGAGCTAGCTTTGACTCTTTTGTTTTGTGTGTTAACTTGGAGTACATACAGAAGTAGAAACATAGGGACTGAACACTAGGGACAAACACAATCACAGACGGGAGGCTGTAAAAGATAAATAAAATGAAAGTACAGAGGGCAATACTGGGGACAGAATGGTTCAATAATGGAGAGGCTGGGGTACGGAAGAATGGGGGCAGAGGAACTGCTAACCAAAAAGAAGGGTGTATGAAAAAGCTTCATGGGAATATATGATCTTGCAACCCCAATAAAACTTATTAGAGAATATAGCAGAACACAAGTGACTTGAAAAGAACAGGGGACAGGGGGAATACTGAGGGTTAAAGGTTCGAGCAGTGATGACCCCCTGTGAATGGGGGAGAAGGAGTTGGGCTGGACTAACCAACTCTAAGGATACTCGAAGAAGCCTTACAGAAACCCACTAGATTGTAAGTTAATTTTAAAATATCATTTTTTAAAATGGGATTTGAACAGAGGAACTCTGCATGGGTTGATAATGCTGCTCATGAGATCATGAAATGAAAATCTCAGTGCCACAAAAAGAAACGAAATCCATTGTTCTTTGTTTTCCACCAAAAGTATATGGTAAAATTATAAGGTAAAAGCCTATCACTGAAGATACCACACACTTTGGTTGCAGAGCACGAGGAAATAAATCCCAAACTGTCCAGAAAACTCTTTACCAGGTGGAACACTTTCATAGTGCCATGTAGACTGCTAGGGGAGAAAAACCAACAGTCTTACTGAGTTTTGAACCCTGTATGCTACAATGCCAATCTACCAGGCAAGATTGTGTAACATCAGCATGGCAGTTATGATGGATTTATTTGAGGTCTTTTTCATGGGGGATATTTTATGTCCAAAACTCTAAATCTTGTGAAAATCCCATGACTGAGGGAAGGAACCCACTGTTTTTCTGAATGTTCATGTTACACTGGTTTCTAAATCTTTATGTGCATTACCCCAAAGTTGACGCTGCCCTCACTTGGTTTGGTGAGAGAAGCCTTTTTTTATACAGTGGGTAGCAATTATTACAAAGATTTATAATTATAACTGGACAAAGTATGAAGAATGGGTGAGTATGAGTGCTCAGCTGTGGATGGGTTACCTAAGTCACCCTCTCCCCTCCTTCCCTCCCAAGGCTCAGGGAATATAAAGCAGAATGGGCAGAGAGGCTGTTAGATTCAGAGGGTTTCATGGAGAGGTATAAAATGATGTCTTCTGAATGTGACAAAATTATTACACATGAACTCAGAGCAGCTGTATTTAACTGCACAAGACCTGCACAAGATCAATCTAGTCAAAATTCCAGCATGGATAGAGGAATGGCTCCCACATCCCACCTCTAGCTTTGAAACTATAGGCAATTAATGGCTGCTAGAGAGAAGTGTGACTGGTAACAGGTGGCCCACATTCATTTCACCAAGTTAAATAAGATTTTTTAAAAGACATTAAGTGGGATGTCATCTTGAATATTATCTAACATTCATCCCATAAAAGGCTAAGACAAGGATACTTTGTTAATAGCCTCTTTTTATTTGGGAAAAACTTGCCTTAAAAGATAAGACATTTATTCCTGTTTGTTAGAGTCAAGATGATCTGCAGCTCTGACCAGGACATGGCTAAGGAATTGTGGGAAAACTGCAGGCAGGAGATAATGTCTAGGAGGGATTTCAGGGCAAAACAAGACCACAAGGGCAGGGAAGTACAGAAGGAAGAACCCAGAGAAGAGTCCAAAAGACTTCTCAAGCTCCACTTGCAGAGCTCTCGTTAGTAGTTAGCTAAACAATATATAAACAGCAGTGAAAAAATGTTCATTCTGGAAGTGAACCCAGAGTCCTTTGTCTCTATTACTGCACATCTCTCCAGGTCCCTTCACTGCTGTGCTGTTCATGACATTTGTCTAACACAAGGAATACAAGGAATATGTAGCTAAGTCAAATGACCTGTTCAAAATTCCAAGCCAATGCAATATCGGGAAAAGGCTAACACTAACATGAACTAAGTATCATATAACACATACTACGGCAAGAAATTTATAAGAAATACTCTTAGACACTCCTACTTTATTATCTCACTTAAGTTAGAGTCTCAACTAGCCATGACCTCATAATTCACCACAATAACCACTAATTTGCTCTTGGGTATCTATAGGGGATTGGTTCCAAATCCTTTGTAAATCTACAGATGCTTAAGTCCCTGATTTAAAAAAATAACAAAATATGGATGTTTTCCTGTATGTCTTGAATCATCTCTACATTACTTATTATACCTGATGCAACGTGACCCTGCATAAAGAACTGTTGCATTATTGTGTTTGGGGAATAATTATAAGAAAAAAAAATAATACGTACATATTCAGAACATGTACAATTTATTTTTAAAAAATTCAGTTAGTGATTCTCAAACCTACAGCTACTGAGGATCAACTGTGGGAGGTGAGCAATGGCTCAGTGTTAGTTTCTTCTCCTCTTTCTGTAGTGAAATGCCCTGATGGAAGCAACTCAGAGAGAAAAAAATGGCTCATTTCAGTTCACAGTTCACAGGAAACCTGAACTGGCCACATTTCACACACAACCACAGCTCACAGTTCACGGGAAGCCTGACACAGTTAGCCACACTGTGTGCATAACCACAGCTCACAGTTCATGGGAAGCCTGATGCAGTTGGCCACACTGTGTGCACAATTAGGAAGTATGAAATAATAAGGATTGGTGATCAGCTTATTTCTCCTTTTTCATGCAGTAAAGAACCAAAGCCCAAAGAATAATGCCATCCCCCTTTAGTGCAGGTTTTCCCACACCAATTAACCTAGTTAACATATTCTTCAAGGGCAAGCCCAGTGGTTGAGACATCCCCCAGGAGCATGCCTCCAGCCCTGTCAGATGGCAATCAACACTAGCAGTCACAGTGAGTAAAATGCTTGCCACAGAAGCATGAGAATCAGATCTCAGATCCCTAAAACACAAATAAAAACAGGCACCATGGCATATACCTGTAACCACACTACTGGGATGGCAGAGACTGGCTGCTCCAGTCTAGCCCAAAGGGTGAACACAGTTTTCAGTGAAAATCTTCCTCTAAAAGTAAGGAAGTAAGGTGGAGACTGACATAGGAGGACACCTAACATATATAAATAAATCACACACACACACACACACACACACACCTATACTTGATATATTCTTCATTTCTACATGAATTTCCCTTTTAATATGTACCATATATAACATTCATTAAAATGCAAAAGTTTAATTTTACATTCAAATATGCAAATATATTTAAATTTTCATTCAACTGTATGAAATGGTACTCTGGTGGTACAAGGGTAACATATAAGAAAATCTCTCACCTTTGCTGAGTGATTTGAATCACTCTCTGGAGGGGATAGACTGGGTGCTCCTTGTGGTTCCTTAAATTTTTCTTTTAATTCTATATTTTCTTGTTCTTTTTTAAACAGTTGGTCCTGAAGATTAACAACACTTTGCCGTAGCATAGCTTCATTTGATTTTGTAGTTTCAAAACAAATATGTAATTCATTATAAAGCTGTTTAAAAAATCCAAAATGATATCATCAATAAAGTAATTATGTGCATATATATGTGAACTATTTATGGACATATACTTGCCCTTAACTTATGTTAATAGCCAATAAGCAGCAACAATGTGGAAGTGATAGAGTTAAGTATCATTATAAAGTTACATCTGCATTCAAAAGGTAAAATGTATTACCAGTCAGGGCAATAGACAAGGAGAGTATTAAGTATAAAAGAATGATGATTCTAAGCTAGTTATACTCATTGCAGAGATTCACATTAGAAAACAGTCTTGAATAGCAGTGACAATTCTACTACTAACATGTACCAATTTTAAAAAAGAATCACTCTAAAGAGCACAGAAATGTGAAAAAGTATGTAATTAGTTAGGAAAGGACCCAGGAGAACACTGCATTCTTTAAGGTTAACTGAAACATTTTTATTTCATATAAATTAGTATACATTTTTGAAGAAAAGTAGAGGGAAAGCTAAGAGCCAAAGCAAGGCAATCAGGTTGTACATGCACATAGACAAAGGTGTCAGGACAATGGAACACGTCCATAGACAGCAGCGAGAGAGTAGAGATGTAGAATTGTACAATAACACAAAAGCAGTGTTCTAAAGGCACTAATGGATAAGTTCAAATTGTTTGTTAAGACTCATGCATTAAAGCTAATGTTTCCATATAAAACTGTGAGCCAGTATGTCCTGAATAATTAGCATCTTACACAGAAATGCCTAGTAAATAGCAGTGTCCCACCAATGCTCAAGAATTTGCTTCCTAAGGGACTTCCACTTATGCTTGTTATTAATATGTTGTAGCCCAACTGTGGTGGTAGATCTGCATGTGGACTCCAAATGTGTATCTGCTGCTGATTCTATGAAAGTGGTCCAAAAGCCAAGATTCTTTTAAGAAAAACAGCTACCAGAGAAATTACAATATGACAAAAGCAAAAACCTCCAGGCAGAAAAATCACATTATATACCTAATAGTGTGGGATTTTAAATTTCTTAACCCAGTTAAAGATATGGAGTATCTTCATTTATTGGCATGCATAAAAATTCATAAGAATGTAAGCTTTAATTTATCTATATAGTGGATACTGCTAAACATTTCTGTATATGTGATATGATTTAATTTTTTTTATTTTATTTATTTATTATACATTTGGTGTTCTGTCTGCATGGATGCCTGCAGAGCAGAAGAGGGCACCACATCTCATTATAGATGATTGTGAGGCACCATGTGGTTGCTGGGAATTGAACTCAGGACCTCTGGAAGGGCAGCCAGTGCTCTTAACCTCTGAGCATCTCTCTAAAGCCTAAAATTTCAAGAAAGGTATGCCTAAAAAGTTTTCTAAAACATACAATTATTCATAAAAAAATAAGACCTCTGAAATCTTCTAAACTATAATTAATCAAAACATTTGAAGTCTATATTGTATAACTATTAAACTAATCCATATCACTTTACAGCAAAAGTTAAGCAACTTTTACAAAATAAGTTACATATAGAATTTACAAAGAATTTCAAAGTACAAATTTGTGGTTTTCATTGTCATTGACTTATACAATGGTATATGCCAAGGTCCTTTTCACAGCTAATATAATTGGATACTCTTAAGAAGAGAAAGTATTAATACTGACAGCTTTCAGGGACAATCAAGAGGTCAGTGTGTGGGCAATAATCATCCATCTACTGACGCTTTCATGACTGGGGAAAAGCCAACTCCAGAGACTAGAGTCAAGCTAAAGGAAGATAGTTGGAGATAGCTGGAGTGGAAGCAATACACCTCACTCTCAGGGACCACCTCTGGACCTCCTCTTTCATACATACAAGACTCTGGGTCTATTCCTCAGACCTCTTTTGTCTCTTCTGGCTTCATAATCTGTTTCATCAAACAGAAGAGCAATAGTACTGTACTGAGTCACCCAGTGTAGCCTAGACTTAGAGTGTGACTTGGGCACAGTCCGGCCCACCCTGCTTTGTACTACTACTTGGATTTCCTGTCAAGATGCCCTCAGAGGTACAACATGGAGAGGAAGGATTGGAGACCTTTGCCTTTCACATAAAAATTGCTCAGCTCATGTCCCCCATCACCAATACTTTCTATTCAGATAAGGAAATTTCCCTTTGTCGGCTGATCTCTAATACTTCTTATGCCCTGGATAAGATATATTATGAGAGCCTGACATGCCTTTCCAAGTTGGACAGTGGTAAAGAGCTGAAAATTGACATTGGCAACACTGAGGAATTCACCCTGACTTCGCTGGACGCAAGCATTGGAATGACCATGGCTGACCTCATAAATAACATGGGAACCATTAGTTACTAAGTATGACACAAAAGTGTTTGTGGAGGCTCTTCAGGATGGTGCAGACATCTCCATGATTGGACAGTTTGCTGCTGGATTCTATTTGGCCTATTCAATGGCAAGAAAGTGGTTGTGATTACAAAGCACAATGATGATGACCAATATGCCTCAAAGTCATCTGGCCACTGATGAAGATGAGGTGACAGCAGAGGAGCCCACTGCTGCTGTTCCTAACGAAACTCCCTACTTGAAGGGACGACGATGCCTCTTGCATGGAAAAAGTAGATTAGAAACCTCTGGGAAGTCCATGAACTCTGGACAGTTTCCCTGTGGTCCCTCCAGCAGCCTTGACTGGCTCTGACCCTTGGGGCTCTCTGATTAGGTTTACAGCCTCTCTTCTATCATGTCCTTATGACTTAAGGCAAGAAAATCCCTTCACACAGAATAGCAGGGTTGGGTGTTGTGTAATATGTTTGGATTGTTTTATTTTTTTTTCTGAAATTAAGAGCATGCAAAATAAAGACAAAGGAAAAAAAACAAAAAACAAACAAACAAACAAAAAACCAGTACTCTTATGCTGTTCTCATTGTGGTTTTCAGTTGTACTCCTGTTCAGAAGTTTCCTGATCTGAATGGGTAGATAATTTCAGACACTGGAGCAAACTGTATCTTGTGGTGAATATTCATATTTCAAAGCTACAAGAACTGAAATTTTTAAAAATAAAAAACCTGGAAGAAAAGATCTAGACCAGCCTGATTCTAGGAACTGGACCAAACTCATTCCTTGGATCTTATTCGATATACATATTTCTTGCTTTCCTGCTCTGTTTGGCCATGACTGGCCTTGCTCACTTCCTAGCAGGAACAGTACTCAGTTGCATACACCAGAAACTGGAAATAACCTAGATGTCCAACTGAGGAGTGGATAAAGAGAATTAGTACATTTACACACTGGAATGTTAACAGCTGTTAAAGATGACATCATTATGGACTGAAGGGTGTACTGTGTGACTCACTGTGACACACAACAGCTTCCAGGATGAGAATTTTTTTTATTTTGTTTTGTTTCTGTTGTTTTTTTTTTCAGTTTGATTTTATTTGGGGGAGGGAGGTTGCAAAGGCAGAGGGTGGATACGAAGGGACAGGAAGATGAGTGAGATTAGAGTACATGTTATGAAGCCCACAAAGAATCAATAAAAAGATTTTTTTTTAAAATGATATCATGAAATTTGAAAGGAAATGGATAGAACTAGAAAAAAAAGACCATACTGAGTGAGACAACCCAGATGCAGAAACACTAATATGGTACATATTTACTTATAAGCGAATATTAGCTGTTAAGAAAATGACAATACCAGAGATGTAAGGCAAAGAGGAGGGTTGTGGGGCATGGGATGGAGGGAAAATGGATCTCCCTGGGAAAGGGAAACAGGATAGACTCTGTGGGTGGACACTAGGGGATGGGAACAGGAGTGATCAGATGGAGGGGAAGGGATGGAGGGAAAGAGTGCAGGGAGAGATGACTGGAATTGGGAGGCAATTGGAGGCCAGTGTGGAAACCCACTGCAGTGGAAACTTCCTGGAATCTATGAGGGTGACCCTGGTGAGGACTCTGGGGGATACAGAGTCTGAACTGGCTATCATTTATAGCCAGGCAAGGCTTCCAGTGGTGGGACTACACTGCATATGGCTGAGTTATTGGTGGAGGGGGGTCCTATGGAGAACCCTAAACAACCCAATCTGATGCTAGGTACCATCTTCTGTGACAAGAAACATGTCCCCTTGACTGTGTATTACTATGAAGGTTCACAGCTGTAAGTCTCTGAAGCTACATCCCTGCCTTGTGTTGGTTGCTTCCAAGAATTCTGAGTCCGGGTCTGACAGAGCACTAGATTTTCCCAGCTTCTTTCCTCTCAGGGTAAGTTTGCTGGGGAGAGGGTCTGATGGTGATGAAAGAAAAAGGAAGAATGCCTGGTTCCTCAATTCTCCTCCTTCAATGCACAACTCAGTTTCTATTGGCTACAACACACTCCCTAATGCATTCAGGGACATTGCTGAACCTGGACATTTGCCATCACCAGGGATACAAACTCAAGGGCCTCTAGAGTAACCAACAACCTGCTAGGCCCAGAAAATGCTCTCTGAACCAGCATGAATCCAAGAAAACAGACAGAGCCTCTCAATAAATGCAGCTCTGAATCTCACAACATACGTGTGAACATCACCCAGTCCGCCTGCACGCAGTACCAGCTATTGCACTATATAAAGGACATTCACAGACTCCAGCTACCACCTGCTAACCCCAGAACTGTGAGGCACAAAAAATAAAGTCATCTTTAACCTCCTTCAACCTCATCCAGTCTCAGATATTAAAGTGGAACAATACTTTTATGATGTTTACACCTTAATATGTTGTGAAGTACAGCGTAAAATATATACAGAGCTCAATACAGGTGCTTTAAATTAATAGCAGAAATAGTGATGCTGTGTCAATTAGCATAGCTAAAGAGCCAAGGAAGCCTTGCTATGTGCTCCAGAAACAACTACAGTAAAAAGAAACTAACAAAGAGAAAGATCCTTGAAAATCAATGAGCCTGAAGACCTCGTCAGCCCCCTCTGTGTCTGTGCACATTTGCCAATAAAACCTGCAGATTTTATATGAAGTCTGCCTGAGGTCACATATCAGGATCATACCTGATCCAAATATTTCTTACATCAGAAGTACTACTTACTGTACCTAGTATGTTTCACGGAAGAAATAAAAGTTCAAATTTATGAGTTGTTTTTCACTCTTACCACAGAAAATCCACAAAAATTTAAATATTACCAAGTTAAACCACGTGAAGAGGGAATAATACAAAAGTTCTAAACACTTGAAATCTGTTTTCCTAAGTTCAGCATACTTTTTGGTATGATATACTTTCAGCTGTGTGAACATCTTCCTGATTCTTTAGTACTTTCTGTGTATCCATGTTGAGGACCTGGAGCTGCTGGATCAACTCTGCTTGCTGTGCTGTATGCGCGCTGTTCTGCTTGTACAGATTCTGCAGCTCCTGTAGTTCCTTCCTGTGCAAAGCAAGCAATAAACAGGGAGAGGCATGAATAAAGATTACCTCAGACAAATAATTGTGTTCATCTAAGAGTATAGATCGGCTTCCTGTTTCTCATCTATTATATTTTATTGCAGGCAAACTTATTAATAAATGAAATAATATATAAAGTACTTAATATTTATCACACATACCTGGAAAGTATTGACAGAACTACTGTGGCTTTCAAAGGCAAATACTTATCAATTCTCTTTTATAGCTTGATAGAAATAAAAATTCTGGATATACTGTCATATAACCACCTTCTTATTGAAATTAAGTTAAAATTTCAGTTCCAAGAACTGATAAGCAATGGTTCTAACTATAGTTACCAGATAGTTTTAAATATAGGGTAAGTTAAGCTTTCATTTTACATAATAAATAACTTTAAGTATAGGGAAGAAAACACGAAAAAGGCTACTTAGGTTTCAAACCATCATGGACTCTGGGGATTATGTGTAAGATGGTGAGGCAACAAGGTCAGAAGGAATGGGAACACATAAGGGAGTGGAGTCCCTGCAAACACACATGAGCAATGGTGAAGGGGGAGAGCAAATGGACTAGCAGAGAATTATGACACTAAGGATCTGAGGGAATAACACCTCTGAGGTAGAGGCTTCCAGATTCCTATGGTAGGAAATCTTGTGTGACATAAACTATATAAAAATGTAAATTAGGCCTTGGCTCGACCCACATGGGCAGAAGTCAGTGCCTGGATCCCTAGCTGGAGGGCACTAACCTCTAGGCCCTAATTGCCCAGGGCATGTCACACTCCCCTTCCCTGTCCACCAAAGCCCCAGAAACCTGGGGACAGCCTTCTCACACCCCAAACCTTCCTGCATGGCATCTGCCACCATTGGAGCCTTGGATCAGCCTGCATTTAGAAGAGTTTCAGAGCTGTATCAGCATCCAACAGAAGCATGGGCCTACCTCCCTCCACATATAGGAAGAGCGACCAGCTAAGCCACAGGTCCCACCTACACTAATTGGAAGAAGAGAGACGCCCTGAATCACAAGCTCCACCTGCTCCCATTGGAGAAAGAGATGGGCAGACAACAGTATAAGAGTACATTCAACAATATACAGAGCAATATGATACCACCAGAATCTAGGGGTTCTACACCAGAAAGAGCTGGACATCCCAATGCAGATGAAACAGGAAAGAGAAAACTTAAAAATAACTTTATGAAGATGATAGAGGCCCTTAAAGAGTAAATGAGAAACTCTCTTAAAGAAATGGAGGAAAAATCAAACAGGTGAAGAAAATAGTTCAAGACTACAAAACTGAAATAAAGAAAATACACACTGAGGTAATGATGGCACAGGAAAATCTCGGTCAACAATCAGGAACTACAGATGAAAGCATAACTAACAGAATACAAGAGATGGAAGAAAGAATCTCAGGTATTGAAATACAGTAGAGGAAAAAGATTTATTGACCAAAGAAAATGTCAAATCCAACAAATTTTAACTGAAAATATCCAGGAAATTTGGAATGCCATGAAAAGACCAAGCCTACGAATAATACAGATAAAAGAAGGTAAAGAGGTCCAGCTCAAAGGCACAGAAAACATATTCAACAAAATCACAGAAGAAAACTTTCCCAACCAAAGGAAGAACATGCCTATGAAAGTACAAGAAGTTTATAGAACACCATACAGACTGGAACCCACACCCCCCAAAAAAGTACCCTTGCAACATAATAATCAAAACAAACAGAATAAAGAAATAATATTAAGGGCTGCAAAAGGAAAAAGGCCAAGTAACATATAAAGGCAAACCTATCAGAATTATACCTGATTTCTCAGTGGAAACTCTGAAAGCCAGAAGATCCTGGACAGGTGTTCTACAGACAGTAACAGACGATGGATGCCAGCCCAGACTACTATACCCAACAAAGCTTTCAATTGCTATAGAGGAAGAAAACAAGATATCCCATGACAAAACTAGATTCAAACAATATATATCCACAAGCCCTATAGAAAAAAAAATCTCAAATGACTGAAAGGCACTTAAGAAACTGTTCAACATCTTTAACCATCAGGGAAATGTAAATCAAAACAACTCTGAGATATCATCTTACACCTGTTGAAATGGCTAAAATAAAAAATACTAATAAAAGCTTATGCTGGAGAGGACATGGAGAGGAATATTGCTGGTGGGAATGCAAACTTGCTATAGCTACTTTGGAAATCAGTATGCGAGTTTCTCAGAAAATTGGGAATCCATCTATCTCAAGACCCAGCAATGCCACTCTTGGGCATATACTCAAAGAATGCACATTCATACCACAAGGACATTTGTTCCATAATGTTCACACCAGCATTACTTGTGATAGCCAGAACCTGGAAACAACCTAGATGCCCCTCAACTGAAGAATGGATTTTTAAAAAAAAATGTGATACACATACACAATGGAGCACAACTCTGCAGTAAAAAACAATGACATCTTGAAATTCACAGATCTAGAAAAACCATCCTGAGTGAGGTAACCCAGACACAGAAAGACAAACACGGTACATACATTCACTCATAAATGGTTATCAGACATAAAGCAAAGGATAACCAGCCTGTAAACCACAACCCCAGAGAAGCAAGGAAACAATGATTTACCTCCACCCTGCCCCTAAGAAGGAGAAATGGACAGGATACCCTGAGTAAATTGGGAGCATGGGGGTAGGGAGGAGGTAAGTAGGATAGAGAGGAGGGGAGTGGGGAGAACATGATAGATCAGAAAGGTCTAGTTAGGAGAAGGATAGAGAAGGAGAGCAAGGAATGAGATACCCTGGTAAAGGGAGCCATTATGGAATTAATGAGAAACCTGTCACTAGGAATCCACAAGGATGATACCTACTAAGAATCTAAGCAAAAATGGAGAGGGTACCTAAAGTGCCCTCCTATAATGAGATTGATGACTACCTTAAGTGTCATCATAGAGCCTTCATCCAGTAACTAAGATGGGAGCTAAAGCAAAGATTCACAGCTAAACACTGTGCTGAACTCCTGGAATCCAGTTGTAGAGAGGGAAAACTGATAAGTAAACAGGTCAAGGCCATATTGTGGAAATGACCTGAGCAAGTGGGAGCTCATGAACTCCAGACTGGCAGTTTGGGAACCTGCATAAGACCAAACTAGGCCCCCCTGAATGTGGGGGTCAGTTGGGGATTATAGGCAGTCTCTGGGGCTGCTGGCAGTGGAACCAAGATTTATCCCTAGTGCATGAACTGGCTTTTTGAAGCCCATTCTCTATGGAGGTATACTTAACTCAGCATAGATACAGGGGGGAGGGCCTTGGTCATGCTCCAAATGATGTTGACAGACTTTGATGCTTCCCCATGGGAGGCCTAACCCTCTCTGAGGAGTGGATGGAGTTGGGATGGGGAGAAGGTGAAGGGGGAATGAGAGGCTGGGAGGAAAAGGGAACTGGGATTGGTATGCAAAATAAGATTGTTTTTAAAAGAACAATTTAAAAAATCATTTGGATATTCTGTTTGGACAGAAAGAGTATTTATAGAGACATGTATTTCAGGCTCAAGCACTTAGTTTGTTAAAACACCTGGCTTTTTAAGTGGAATTTTTCCCTATCTATAGCTTTAAACTGGTGATTTACATATGTGAAAAGATTTTAAAATAAATACATGTGTAAATAGTTGTTGACTAATGAAAATCAGTACAAGGAAAATAAGCTTTGCTCTTTAGACATCTAAGGTAAGAATGGTTTCAATCAGATTTGTAAACACTGCAGGCACAAATGTGCATAATTGATCTCCTATGGCTACTAAAAGTGGACACGTGATAACAGTTCAAACATAGGGTAGAGGAGAATCAGGAAATATAATAAAGACACAGTAGAAGCCTATTCTGACTGTGCTGTTTTCTATTGCCACATCAGAAATTTTAACAAAGGAAATAAACAATACTATGTCAATTGAGGGTGATGAGAGCCTGTTGCCCAATAGAGCAACATCTACAGAAAGTGCATGATGAAGTTAAACAATAACAGGTATAAGGTGAAAACAAAAACTTATTTCTCTTCCAATATTCAAATACATCATCTATCTTTTAATAAGAAAGCAAGATTGATATATACAAAAATTATTTACATTAAAGTTCAAACTATATTATCTTCAGTTATAACAATCACAATCTACAAACACTTGAGGATTAAAAGTCAATGTGAAAAAGAGTGTACTTTTGTACTATCTCATACACTCCTTCACAACCTTAGTGTTTGCAAGCATAAAATGACCTAGGGGAATTCACACACACACACACACACACACACACACACACACACTATCTCTCTCTCGCTCTGTCTCTCTCCCCACCTTCCACTAATGAAAAATTTAAAAATAAAACTGGGCAGTGATGACACACACCTTTAATCTCAGCACTAAGGAGTCAGAGGCAGCTAGATCTCTGTGAGTTCAAGGCCAGCCTAATCTACAGAACAAGTGGCAGGACAGGCTCCAAAGCTATACAAAGAAACCCTGTGTCAAAAAATAAAATTAAGAAAAATACCTACGGGTCACTGGGAAGGAAAGAATTTGTCTTGACACATCTTATATGAAAACAAAGTATAAACATATGTAAGGATATATAAATATATATATATAAAAGCATATATATATATATATATATATATATGAATGAAAACAAAGAAGGAAAAATAACAGGACTTATTTAAAATAGGTGGTTTTGTGTTCTACCCTGAATGTGAAATACCCCTCACAAACTCATGTACTTGAACAGTTGTTTCCTAGCTGGTAGAACTATTTTGTGAGGTTATAGGACCTTCTAGACAGGGGCCTAGCTGGAAGACATGGTACCACAGGGCTAGAGGACTTGTAGGTAATACCCCAGCACCAGATCCAGTCTGACATTCTCTGCTTCCTAGTCAGCAACAGAGATGTGAGCAAGCTGCCTCATACTGCAGCCACCATGGACAAGAACGGCTCATTCTTAAATACCATCATGAATGCCACCATGCTTTCCCCTCTGTATATTAAAATAAATCTTCCTTCCCTAAGTTGTTTCCATCAGGCATTTTGACAAAGACCTAAGAAAAATAAATAATTACAGTACTTAAAATTAAGAAAAATTCACTGTGCATATTCATAGAAAAACTATAGCAATCAATGAGTGAATGCACTGTTTTGTTAAGAAAAGAGTCATAACCTATTAGTCATGTGGAGTTCCTAGCTCCCCCAGGTAACTAGTGCCAGTTCAGTGTGCAGAATTCTAGATTTTTGTTGCATGAACATATGTATCTATGGAAGACATACGGTTTCCAGTTAGAAGTACTAACAATGAACATATGCCATCATACTGAATGATTAATGACATTCTGAGAAATTGAAAACTGAATATGCTTGCCTGACCAGTGCGATGTCCATATCTTTTTGGAGAAGTTCAGTCTGTTTGTTTTTCAGCTGTAGTGACAGAGCATTATATTTACTCTGTGATAATTCAATTTCTTTCTTTGCTTCCATTAAATTGTCTTCAAAGGCCTAAAATTAGAGCACTTGTATTACAATATAATAAACATGATGGATGCATAAACAGAAGTATATTTTGTTGTTCTGTAATATATAGGGGAATATATAGCAATGTTCTTACCAAAACTATATTTAGGTTTTTCACAATAATCAGATTTTAACATATTTAAATATCAACTTTTAAAACAGTTTCAAAATGAAAAAGGAAAATTTACTAGATCAAGGGAAAGGCCAATTTTGAAGAATTGTTGAAAAAAGTTTACAAAAAGAAGCAACTTATACTAGTTATAGGATTTTTTCAGGAACTTAAAAATCAGGTTATAAAAGCAAGAGCATAAAAATCAAGAACTTAAAACAAACTATAAAAACTACAGTTTAAAGCTAAAAGAAATAAAACAATTAAGCTATTTATTAATTAAAAAGCAGCTGAATAATTTAAATATGAAGAATAAATAGTATTTAATATTAATATCCTTAATGAGTCCCTGTTTTAAATGTACAAATACAAATTAGCTAATACTACAAAGAAAACAAAATAAATTTCCAATATTTAAGTTTTAGATTATGCTCTTTTCTCTTGATCATATTAAGACTTTCAACTAACATTCCCCAAAACTCACCTTTCCCTCCTAATAATTCTCTAAAGCTTTCATTTTGAAACTACTTTTAAAATTTATATGTATTTTAAATACAGAAAAGTAATCTTAACTGGAACTGTGAAGAAACAATTATGTATAAATGGAGTATGCCTATATTATCACCTTTTATTCATTATTTCCATAACTGATCACCAGGCTTTAAGTTAAACACTAGAAATTCCCCTTTACTCACACAAAAAGAATAACATATAACATATATATAATGAGAAATAAATGGAAAGAAGAAATCAAGAAGGAAAAAGTAGGAGAGAAAGAAGAGGTTGGTTTTTTCATGTGGGAGAAAGTCTACGATAAGGACCTTACAAATGATTCTCTGTACTCTGCTTGCTCTCTTTGGAGGTAGGTAGATATGTAACCAGAGAGGTAATTAAGAGAAAGTACGCTGATATAGAAGTGTTAAATATGAAAAGTCTGTAGCAGATAAAACAAATATCACAAAAAAAAAAAAAATGAAGAGTTTCAGACTCTGGCACAGAGGCCCAGGTAAATGTTTTAAGTTCATTGGTAGCATCAGGACAAATCTCAAGATTCAACCTGACTTATGGTAGGTATGCAAGGGCAACAAAAGCACTCATAAATTGAATAAAGTTCTATTTTCAAATTGGAAGGTCTGGAACATCAAAACTGTGTAAAAGGAACAAATGAACATCAGAGTACAAACAGATGACAACAATACATTCCTACACAATAACCCTTAGAAAAATCTAAAGTTCAAGAGAGAATAAAGGGGTGAGATGCTGCTCAGTATTATGGAACATGCTTGCCTAGAATGTTTGAGGCCCTAGGTTTGATCCACCAAAACTGTTATTGAAAATAGTACTAAACTTCCCCTAAGTAGTTATCTTTATATTAATAAATTACTGCATTTCTCCACCTGCAGTAGAGAAGATTCTGTCTGCACTAGATAGAGATTAACACAGAGACTCTCAAATGGCCAAAGTGCATGGAGTAAGAGACTATGGGGTGCTCATCTCTAAATGGGGGTGCCTGCAGTGAAATGTTATTTCTCGTGTGAATTCAGAGCATCTATGACAAGTACAAAAGATGCACGAAATCAAGCCAGTCAAAATCCCATCATGGACAGAGGAAGACTTCATGAAGTTTCACCTCTAGCCAAGAAGCTATTGGCAACTACTGGTTTCTGTGGGAAGAAAGAGGCATATATGTTGAGGAATGCAGTCCCTGAGGGCTACCCATGCTCCAGCAAATGGTTCCCTATTCAAGCACATACAGACAGCAGAGAAAGGACTCCAGGGACTTAAAAAAACAAAAACAAAACACGAGAGTACATAGAGTTAGAAAGGAAAATAGCAGTGGGGCAGTGGAGGACTGGAGAGTAGGGAATGGAGGGTAGATTTGATCAAAACACAATGTATACACACAGGAAATTCGCAATATAAATCATTTTTTAAAGAAGAAAAATAGCCATGTGGGGAAAACTAAATTTAATCCATGCAGGAAGATTGCAAGTTCAAGACTCAAAATAGAAAAAAAAAAATGCCTGGACTTGACACTGATTTGGACCTTCTGCCTAACATGCTCCAAGACTTGTGTTCCAGGACAGGCTCCAAAGCAATACAGAGAAACCCTATCTCAAAAAACCACCACTACCACCACCACCACCAACAACAATAATAGTAATAGCTAAAAATTAGAAACCTAGAGTCTCTCAACATCTGTGGTTAATGAATAAAGAAAATGTGATACATTTATGCAATAGAATTATTACTAATTCATTAAAATGGAAATCCTGAAATTCACAGATAAGTGGATAAAACCAGGGAAAAAAATCATCTGAGGGTAACCCAGCCCCAGAACGACAATGTTTTTTGCTTATATGTGCATACTATTTGTTAAGTCTTTGATAAGCCATATAGAATTCATATAACAATAGAGGTTAGGCATAGAATAAGGAACTAGATGAGACAGCTCTCCAAAGAAAAGGGAAACAGAATAGATAAGTACTAATGGACAAGGGTGGGGATTGGGGCTGGAACTGGAATATCAAACAGGGAGACAAGGAAAGAGAGCAACAAGGGAGGAAACACAAGGAAAGATGACTAAAATTAGGAAACATCTGAGTGGCTCCTAAAGGCTGAGACATCTCTCCAGGGCCCTAAAATCTATTGCCAATAAAAAAATAACCAAAATGAACTAACAAGTAAAATCAAACAAAAACATCCAAAAGCAGCCCAACAATTTCGGGGGATAGTTTTCCCTTTGTGTCTATGAGACAGTCTCAGAAAGTTGAGGTTGTGTGGCAGAGGGTGACCTTGAAGCTCTTTCTGACCTCCTGACAGTACTTCCCAAATGCTGTAGACCACTGGGAAATGAATCCAGTACTTCACATGCTGGACAAACACTCCTGGAACTGAACTATATATATAACGGACCCAAAAACCAGCAAGCATCACAATTAATGGTAAAAATGTTTCTAAAAATTAAAAATAATCTTAGTTAATAGTAAAGGCTGCTTAAGGATTTTAAAAAATTCAAAATGAAGTACAACAAGACATTAAACACATACGTATTGTGTGTGAAATGGTGCATTTTTATTTCTTGTTAGTATGATATTACACACAAAAATTCCCAAGAGTATGTAAATGCTCCTGACTAATAAGAGCATACTAACAAAATAAAAGCTTATTGTGCAAACATGTATATTTTTCCACATAACTCAATATTTGTGATACCAACAATACAAACTGGCAATACATAAATCTTATGACTGATGTGTAATATATTTATAAAGCTTATTGAACAAAACAAAATATGACCAAAATAAAGATGAGCCATGATTGTGAATGCAGAGAATCATTATTATAAGCATAACAATTGTCTTTTTCACATACCAGTTATGTCTTTATTTATCTACAAATACAGTGATGTCAATAATTATGTTGTTTTTATATTGGAGTTGGTATTCTAAAACTAAAAGTCATGCTAGTCATAACACCAAAATAAGCCACAAAGACTAGGGAATCTTCTTATTTGAAATTTAAATTGCAATCCTCAAACAAGGCTAATCAAATAAGACATAGAAAGATAAACAGATCCAGAAGCTGTCAAACTAATTATACTAAAATTTGAGAAAGTATCTTGTTTTTGAGAGAAACTGCTCTACTTAATGCCATTGGTACTACTCTAATTAAATAGAAAACCCCCCAATCTAAACCGTAAACATTTTTCTTGTCATATGTTTCTCATCCTACTTATCACTATGTGACAAAGCTGAAGTTTTTATTGCTTATCCATTTATATGCATCATCACTAATACAAATTTCATGAAAGCCAGGTTTTACACTAGTATTTTTCAGTTATGTTGGTGTCAGACATATGCTCAATAAATTCTTCCATTCCTAACCTTGACAACAAACTTCAACTGACTCAGAAAGCTAACTATACATTTGTGGACTGCACATGTTTAAACCCTAGTAATTATCCCTTTAGAACACAATCTTCTAAAGGACTTGGAAGGATCTAATGCAGGCAGCAGCAGCCAATATTCTAGAATTTCTTTAAAATAACTTTTATCATACACAAGAACAAACTTTTCTCCTGAATAAAATTCTATTGACTCTATGCTATTATTTTTGTTGTTCAAGTCAAAAGGTATCACTGTGGTAGCAGCTTCTAACAGCTTCATAAATGCTCCTCTCACTCCACACTTGGTTCTGACGCTGGAGACTTTGGTAAGACTGACTACACCACCCCTACGAGTCTCCAGGAGTCTCGGTCCTATTGATATAACAAGACGGGTCCTCTGCAGATTAGCTTACCATCACTTAAATCTTTCCCTTCTTACAAAAGTTTCATTGATGATTTCCTACCTGCTGGGAGGCAGCTCCTCTGATTTTATTTCTGTCTCTCCTGTTCACCCACTTTACATAAAAAAGACAAGCAAAAACTAATAAGAGAGTTATACTCTCTTTATTTGCACGTTTTAGTGCGAATACATATTGAATAACTGATATAGATCAGAGCACCAAGGAAAGTTGTGATTATTTGACTAAAAAATTATGTATAAAGTATGTGTATATATATATATATGTATATACATACGTATATACGTATATACACATACGTATATACATACATACATATATACACTCTTCCAAAATGGCCCATCGTGAAAAGCCTCAGATATACACACCCTAGAGCATGATCTGGACCCAGTGAATGTTTTTGTTTGTTTGTTTGTTTGGTTTTTGTTTTTTGTGGGGTTTTTTGTATTCATGTATACAAAGTTGCTTCCTAAAAATTAGACTAAGGAGATGTAATAAACGAAGAAATGTCTACTTTTAAGAATCTATTTCATAAAACCAACAAGGGCCCATTAAGGACAGTAAAGAT